TTTTCCGATCACTATACAGCTAACTAGAATAAAAAATAGCTCATAAAAAAACTTTTTTTTTAGAAAAGTGGTCGGATACCCATGGGTTTACCCATGTTTATTTCATAAAAAAATTCTCAAAGACAAATTTTTGTAAATTTATTTACCAAAATATTTATTCGAACTTCAGACAGTTTTTTCTTCTTTTCTTTTCTTTTCAATGATTTTCATTTATGTTTAGATACCAGCTGGAAACAATATGGAATTAACATTGCTGGAGGAAATTACCAAGGGAAAAAATTAAGTCAAGTCTCTAATCCTTCAGGAATATTTATCGATGATAATGAAAACATTTATATTGCCGACTATTCGAATCATCGTATTCTAGAATGGAAATGTAATGCAAATAATGGTCAAATTGTTGCAGGTGAAAACGAACAAGGAAATAAAATTAATCAATTGAATCATCCAGTAGATGTGATTATTGATAAGCAAAATAATTCTCTTATCATCGCCGATAGACATAATAGAAGAGTAATACGATGGCCTTGCCAAAATAATACAAATGGACAAATTATCATTGAAAATATTGACTGTTATGGTCTAGCAATGGATAAGAACGGGTATCTTTATGTTTCTGACACTGAAAAACATGAAGTAAGACGATGGAAAATAGGAGAGAAGAATGGGACAATTGTAGCAGGTGGAAATGGAAAAGGAAATAATCTGAATCAACTCAATGAACCTACTTATCTCTTCGTTGATCAAGATTGTTCATTGTATGTATCAGATTGTTACAATCATCGTATAATGAAATGGCTAAAAGATGCGTTAGAAGGAATTGTTGTTGCTGGTGGAAATGGTAAAGGAGAGAGTTTGAAACAATTGTCGTATCCTCGTGGAGTAATTGTCGATCAGATTGGTCAAATATATGTAGCAGACTCAGACAATCATCGAATAATGCGTTGGTTTGAAGGATCTGAAGAAGGAACTATTATTGTTGGTGGAAATGGAAAAGGAGAACAATCAGATCAGTTGAATAATCCCTTTGGTTTGTCATTTGATCGAGAATATAATCTTTATGTTGCTGATTGTGGAAATAATCGAGTACAAAAATTTGAAATAAATTAAAATACAAGTTTGGTAAATGATAGTTTGTTTTATTTTTGTAACAGAATAAAATTGATTGAAGAATTCAAAATGATAAATGAAATTAAATCAACTAAATAAAATTTGTTAAAAATAATTCTTTTTTTTTCTTTTTGATAAAATCTTTGTTAATTATTTTTCTATGTCGAAAATCACATGTGTTGAAAAATTCAATTGATCAATTTGATTTCCATACCCACTTTCATCTGCAACAATTTGATCATTATTTGCATTACATTTCCATTCTAGAATACGATGATTCGAATAATCGGCAATATAAATGTTTTCAGTACCATCGATAAATATCCCTGAAGAATTAGAGAATTGATTTAATCTATTTCCATCTCCATTTTCTCCCGCAACGATAATTGAATGTTGTTTGAATTTTGTACGTAAATCTAAATAAAAGTATAAAATGCTTCAGACGAAAAAGTTCTGAAATAAAATGTTTTGATAAATTAACTACGATGCGAAGCATCTATTTAGTGGTTCATCGCGAGTTTTCTTTATATCTATCTTTGTTTTTACGGTGCGAAAGCAGAGTAATCGGTAACGAAATTTTGCAAGTTTTTTCTTCCTCCACTGCGCGTCAATTTGTGTACTTTGTGACGCGATGAGCTAGAGATCGGAGAGTCGCTAGACGTTTGTTCGATCGTTATCAGAAGCTTCTATGTCCCGAGATGACATATATGTTTCTGAATCATGGACATGAGTTTTCGTTTCTTTACAGGAAGGTTTCTAAAAAGACAATTTTCACTTTCGAACTCTGGTTTTTTTCGAGATAATTAAAATTGGCCGTAGCCGACTGTCATAGCTATGACTAATACGAAGAAAGAAAGGCTGTTCTAACGATCGAGATCAAATATTAGATGTTATCGATTAATACTTTTGTAAAGTCCGCTTTTATTGAAGAACTATAAAAGTCAGGACAACGAACATGAACAGCTTGACGATTTTTTTAATCATTTACTCTCAAACAATAGATTAAACTTTGTTGAATCTTGATCACCCATCTCCATTCTATTCATGCTGCAAACAGAAACGAACCATTCTTACATCTACAATTTTATTTTTCCTATTAATGTGTTACAAAACGATGCGCCAAGCAGTCTAAGTAATTCATACAACAATGAACGAGAACTTTTGTCATTGACTCTACATGGAAATTACTACCATAAAAATTCTTCCAGTTTCACCATCGAGCTAGAAGTGCTTCGCACCGGAGTCGCATTATGGGCTCTGTACGTATGCCATCTAGTTTCTAGACATACGCATGGAAGTTGTTATTTTGTGTCGCAGTGATCTCGAGAATGGAAAATCAGAAAATGATCTCTGAAACGCGACATGAAAATATTGAGGTCAAATCGATAGAATCCGTTATTTGATCTTTGACGGCGGATTGCGTTCGTTTACAATGAGCCCCACAAAAAGGTAAATATTTTTTAAGATTCGAGATAATTAAAATAATGATAGCATGAAAAGTGAGGATGGGTGGCAGAGAATGAGAAGAACATAACCACGCTCACCCACCAACTCTCAAGATAGAATTGAGTCTCACGAGGGAACTATCCCAAGTGTTAATCACCGATCGGGTTCATATTTTGTCCGTAAGTAGAACTCGATGAGACTAGAAGAACTCTAAAAGAGTTCATCCCCATACGTTGTCTTTCTTGAGTTATGACCGTTTTACTGAATTTTCGGCCTATGGCAAGCATATATAAAAACATGGAATTGCAGAATTTTGACCTGAAATTTTGCCAATAGATAGGTCTCATAGTCATTCGATAGTCCTAAAAATTTCAGC